GTCACAAATATAAGTGACCTTGCTTCCTTTAGTTTCTGTGATGGTGGCAGACTGAGCTAATATGACAGCCATTGTTTGTTTTTGTTTATAACCCACCCACAAGAAGCTTTAGAGCAAAAAGACTTCAAAATGTCACTAATATTTGTGGTTATTTTAGTTTCTGTAATTGTGGCAGACTGAGCCAATTAGTTTGTTTTTGTTTCTATCCCACCCAAAAGAAGCTGTAGAGCACAAGGATTCCCATAAAGTCTCTCATATTTGCAGTTCGTGTAGTTTCTGTGATGTTGGGAGTCTGATCTGGACAGCTAAAGCTAGGCAGATGGTATTGATGGCGTCCTAGGATCCTGATGTTTAACCCGTTCTGTGTCTCTTCAGGGCCACGGCGTTCGGCGTGCTGAACGCCGTGTGTAAAATGGCCGCCGTGCTGGGCAGCTCCATCTTCGCCGGCTTCGTGGGCGTCACCAAAGCCATCCCCATCCTGCTGGCCTTCGCCGCGCTGGTGGGCGGCGGCCTGGTGGCCCTGAAGCTGCCCGACACGCGGCAGAAAATCCTCCAATGAGAGGAGAGGAGAGGAGGGCGGAGGGAGAGGGGGGCGGGGCTTAGAGCTGCTGGACTCCGACTCCACGCCGCGCCCAAAAAGAAAAGCGAAAGAGGAACTGCGCTCATTTCTGTGTGAACACGCTCATCTGTCCAGATAGTAGGGGGGGGAGGGGCTTAATCTGAGATTATTTTTTTTGGACCATTTGATGCTGAAACGCCTCCACAGAGACCCTGAACCCACCGACTGTCGGCTGTTGGAGATGGGGGGATGTCTGGGGGGGGGGGGGGTGGAGGCTGAAATCATCCTGTGCTTCTTGTCTGTGTGCATGATGGAGAATAGTCGTCCTCCAGCAGATGTGTGCTGGCAGCCTGGAGGAGTTTTGTTTGAGTTTTGAATATTAAGTACCAATCACAGCGTCACACAAAGCTCAAAAAGCTCAGAAAACCGTCCTCAAGCAGCTTAAAACACCCACAAATAAGTTGAAACTGCAGGTTTTTAAGTTAAAGTCTGCTGCCATAAAGCTGAACAGGACAAGGTAAAAAAAATCAAATAAAAAGATGGTAGGAAATGCTTCCTGCTTCAGAATGGATCAGCCTTTAACAGCTGTTTCAAAACCAGAACAGACCAACTTCACAGCAGTTTAGATTCAGAAATCAGAAAAATAAAAAGTTGGATAAGATTAAAAATGATTCAAACCACAACGTACAGGATGGAGACCTGATCAGCCCTCATTTCTTTCATTCTCTTCAAACTTTTCCAGGTATTTTGTTTTTAGGCTTTTTTGCATTTATTTGTTGTATATAAGCATTTACTTCTGAGCTCTGAATCACTGATGCAGAAAAAATGCCCCTAACTCAAGGGATGAGCCAGCATTGTATCCAGAAAAGCAGCAGTTTAAAGTGGATCTTTAGGCTTTTTGTCACAGAAACACATCATTTTTTCCATTTCTGTAGCTGATGGAGGAAAAAAGGCCAAAGAAAACCCAGTCTGACAGACAGGAAACAGGATTTCTGAGGACTCCCAAAGAGCTTCTGGCTGGAAACTGAGCAGATCTCAGCTGGTGAGCAGAGTCCTGAAAACATCTGAGGAAACTGGACCAGTGGAGGACAGAAGAAGAAGAAGAGCTGGGCCTGAAAAACTCTGTAATCCAGCAGATGAAGAGCATCTGAAAGTGAGGTCCTTCAGAAAGAGGTGGCCTCATCAGTATTGCTCCCCATTGAGGAAGGAATCAGGAGGAAAGGCTGAGCATCTGCCAGAGGAACCAGAAAAGAATGAACGCCAGCTCTGATGGAGGATGGATCCTCCCCAAAAGGCAGCAAAACATCCATTGAAGAGCTCTGGGTCCTTCAGAAGCCTGGAGAACTGCTCCTGAATCTTGATTTCAGAAGGAAACACAGCTTCATGGTGAAGGAGAAATGAGCTCAGAGCAAAGAAGAAAGCTTTAAGCTGCAGAATGAGACTATTTTTTGCCTTATTTCTGCTTAAAGATGCTGTTTTCTGTTTTCCTGGACGTGCGTGAAGATATGAGGGCTGGATCAGGATCTTAAATAGCCTGTTAAAGAATCTAAAGGTTCTGTTTTGGGACTTTGTGTGACGGCGTGAGCTCGGCCTTCTTATTCTTCTTTTTCTTCTCATTCATCTGAATCTTCAGGATTTTAAGGTTTTCACTTTAAACCAGGCTGAACGAGCCCTGCAGGAGGTTCCCGGTTCCTCTCCTGCCTGTTGAGCTGCAGCTTTCTGGTCTTCCCGCCCGTCCCGAGCTCTTATTGGGGGCATGTTTCGCTGCTTCGGGTTCGGTTTTGGGCGAAAACCTCGGCGCTGTTGCTGCTTTGTGCCCAGAGGTCCGGCAGTGTGTCCTGTGCTGTGTGTCCTGCATGAGTTCTTCCACCTC